CTGGAATTCTTTGCCCCCAAATGCCCTGGTACGGCCGAGAGTGGAGAGAGTCCGCTCTCCCTCTCGAAATGCTCTCACATGCCCACGTATATACAGCCTCTGCCAAGGAAGTCATACTCACTGCCTTCTCGTGGCGGGGTTGTCGTTTACGAAATTGAGAGAACGAAAAGCGAATGTCCAGCGCTTTAACTGGGCTGGTGGACACGAAGAGTTCACCTAGGGGAGTTGGAAAACCCTGATTCCAAACCAATGATGCACATGGGCTCCAGTATCCTGAGGGAACGGATGGCGTATGAACCAATTGTTGGTCACCGTCTACCATGGGACTGCATCTCCTTACGTTGATCCACTGCCTTGTGGATCAGACCTTATTGGATATACCGTACTGGAATTCATATTGAATTGAAACAATAATAGTTCAAACAATTATAAAAACCATAAGAATTTATAATTTCATGTTTAATTTAATAAAATTCTCAACTAAAAATTTCAAAAGTATTTTTTTTAATTAGAAAAAAAAATGGAAAGCAATTAAAATAATGCAGACGTAAATGTCAAATATTTAGACAATTCACTCTATTTAAAACTAGTTTATTTATGCTACTACGATTTAGAAGAAGAAAAGAAAGGAAAAAAAAAACATTTTTACAATTATGCACTTATATAATTGTTCTTATCGATTTATAGAATTTATTATTGGAGATTTTAATTAAGTTCATTTATGAAGAATTCATTATTTATTAAATAAATATTAATGATATTTAATATTCTAATTATTAAAAAGGAACAAGTTGAATCAGTTGGAAAAAAAACACTTAATAAAAATATTTAATAGATTATTCAATCAGTTAGTTACAACGTAGGACCAGGCACATATTTGCATCGATCTAAATTGCCATACCTCATTAGCATAATAAGATGAACACCGGATTCATAGAAGTAGTTAATTCAGTGGTGGTAATATATTTTTAAAAAAAGATATTTAATAATCAATCATTCGGTAAACAGTGAAAAAATGAACTTTATATTAATTAATTGAAATATAAAAAAGACATCACAGATTTAATGTTGATTGTAAATTGGTATTATTATCTTATTAAAATATATAGTTATAAATAAATGTGGAGTTCAACTAGGTCTGTTGTGAGATAGTAATTCACTGATGATAGTGGTGTATGTGTCGCTCAATTTCGTGGATTAGTTGGAATTAGACATTAACAATTTTGGATGCCGGCTTAGTAGTCTAGTGGTTAAGCGCTCGCACGCGAGACTAACAGGTCCTGGGTTCAAATCTCGCAAGGCGGGATCGTGGATGTGCACTGCTGAAGAGTCCTACAATAGGACGAAACGGCCGTCCAGTGCTTTCAGGGTTTTTATGGTGGTCTAGCTTCAATTGACTTATAATCTCAATCATTAAAAGGTAAAATAGTAAGTGAATTATGATGATATAAGACTCAGTAATAACAGAAATATAAATCTTTCAATCAATAACGAAATATCTATTGTTCTTCTTCCAATATTCATAAAGCTCAGCATGAACTAATATGAATAACAAAAATCACTAAATTTTAGTGCTTACATGATTGGTTTTTGGTAAATTTCTATCTAGGACCTATCATCTTAACATTGACTAGCACACTCTTGTTTTATAATTTTTTTATTAGTAACTATCAAAAGAATCTTGTATTTGTCGTCTAATGTAATGAATATGATATAGTTTAAAAACTGATGTATTTCCTGGTCCAAACGATTTCACTAAAAATCTGTAGAAGATTATCGATTAAGACATTATACTCTCCTTTCTCTTGACCAATTTCTTTATTGAACTTAACAATATTTTATTAAAGCTGAAATCTTTGTACTCTATCTTCAGTGGAAACTAATCTGTCTTTTGGATCTAGTTCTCGGATTCTTAGTGAAACAGTTTACGATGTACTCTAACAGTTGGACTGCATAATTAATCGCTCTTAAAACTTTCAAACTAACAAATATAGGAAACATGAGTAGCGAGAAGTTGAAAAAAGTCTAAATCTCCTTGTATTCTGGGTATAATTAACCTCAGGAATATTGAATGGTTAAGTATTCATGCACAGCTTACCATCAAATCGAATGTGACGTACACCTGCATTTTTAAGCAATTCGTAGAGTGCTTGATAGTTTGTTCTTTGGTTTGAAGGCAACAGATGATAAGCCAATAGGTCCACTAACGGTACACCAGTCCACTCTGCCGTAGAAATCGCTCCCTCAGACCACGATAAGCCTTTCACATAAGGACTACGTTCTTCTAATTCAGCCTTTTTTATATCATACTTGATCATATCTGATCGTCGGTTCCCAGCGCAAACAATGGTAGATACTAAACTTTTACGAGGATAATTCTTTAGAATATCTTCTAATTTTAAAGACAAATTCAGTGGTTGATTGTTAACTTTTATAACCGAAGAAGCTATTTCAAGTCTATATGTCCTAAAGGAGAAAAATATTTCTAAGGATATATACCTTGAACGATAAATGTTGAACTAAATTTAATAAAGAAAATCTTAGTTAAAAAATGAAGAAATCAATTTGAAAAGACCAATCAGATAATGTAACATCATCTTTACCATTACTTAACTTTAATATACTTTTTATTTTATAGGTTTTTAACTGATTATTCTTTAGCTAAAAGTGTTAACTTGAACTGATCCATTTTATAAAGAAATATATTAAGCTAGTGCTTCCATTGATTTTAATGTTGACAATTACAATAAGTGACAAGATGACTGCATTTAATCGGTTATTAACCTTAATAAACAGATGCAGAATATTTTTCTTTGCAGTAACTACTATCCTAAAAAAGATAAGTCTCGGATGAGACATCAGGTACAAAATATTTACAAGAATAGGTTTTCTACAGAAAAACATTTAGTCAGACTGAGTGTTTTGTAATAACTGAAAGTTAATAAAATGAGCTAATTGATGATAGTGTACTAAGATTATTCAGTGAAATAAGGAATACCTGTACAATCAAAATGTGTGATATAAATAAAGAAAAGTTTCCATCTATACGGCACAACATACATTTTGCAAATCAATCTTTTGCCTACAAACTCAAAGTAGTTATATTTATATATTTTAAGATATCAGAAAACCCCATTGTTTTATCCTAACTTCACGCTTGGTTGGGTTAATCAAAAATTATTGAACGAATAAGAACAATGTCCTCAGTTTAGGTAGAATTGGGCTTTAGAAACTATGAAGGTGAAGAAGTAAAAAGTGATTAATTTCAGATGCCAACGAAAACCTTCTGACATCAAAGTAAGGACGTAGCCAATTAAAATTGGAATTTACTTATACTATCACAAAAAGCAACTATCATCACATTTTGACGCCTTAATGGTAAATTTAAGTAACTTCGTGAACATACGTCAACAGCTTAATCAATTATGCAAACAGAGATAAAAATTTTTAGCAAATTATTAACTTATCAAAGCAGCTTTTCATTAACAATAACAACACGCTCAATCTAGCATTTGTAATAAATTGCAAAAGCAGAAATGACCCATCAGTAATTAATGCTGTTATTATAAATTATCTCCAGTCAGTCTTAATTGTTTCATCTCATTTTGTCATCAGGATATAAGTGCTTATATTTCTCAAGGAAATTACTTCGAAATGTCTACGTAATCTGTAAATCTAAGTTAATTCCAAGTGTTTTTATAATGCTTACGTGACAAAATCAAACTGGCGCTCGGTAAATTTATGTCACTTTTTAGATTGACATCCGTAGGATTCTTCTTATCATTATTTTACTACATTTCATTTACAACATAAAGGTGAACATTAGTTGAATTCTTGTAACGATCGTCACTGTTTTTCCTTATCCTACTCGCGAACTGTTATTTATTTATCTAATGAGCATTAAGATAAATTATTAATAGTCTTGAAATTAAATACATACATGCGATGTATTCTTAATTTTCAACAGTTTAAAAGCATTCATCTGACACCATATTTAAGGTTCTCTCATTTACACTTGTGTTCATCATAAAATCATCTATATGGCGATGCTGAAACTTCGTTAGTATTTAACGCGTTCTTGCACATCATTATTTTTTATTAGATCGATTCAGTCTTTTAGTGTCTATTGAGAGAGCTTACGTAGAATACTTTGAGATTTTTATTTAAAACCGCTTAATCAATCAGTATATTATGAGAGATGAAAATTCTTCCAAAATTCTCGTTCAGAAGGAAACCTTGAAGTAGCTACACTTGTAAATTTGAATAAAGGTAGAATGTGGTGATATATGTCTTGATTTTTTAGAATCATATATTCTGACCATGAGTTCTGAGTCCATTCAATGGAATTAGTAATTTGTAACTGTTTATTTCGTTGTATTTCGATAATTGAATGAGAAGTTTATTAAAATTATGTGATACATTTGCGCAATACATTTTGAACGATCTGATCACTTGTTAAGACATTTCTATATGAAAATTAAAGGCCAACTAGACAGGTTAAAGTAAGTCATAACAAAAAATAAATAGATAAATAAAACACACAAAAACAATGTGATAACCACTCTGGATAATAAATCAGTATTAACATTGTTGCTACCTTGACGTGGTGGTCGGGCTTGCATATCGTGATGAAGCAACCGAGCTATACTGACTGAAACAACCGTTCCTCAAGGTCCTACCATGTCAGACAGGTCGGTTGAAGAGCGGTAAGACTAAAAGCAACAAACCCAAGGTCCGAAGGCTATGTCGTACTGCTGACTGTACAGAGCTGCGACAGCAGTAAGGTGTTTCCTTCAGACAACCAGCATGACAGCGATGCTGCCTTCCCACAAGGAGGGGTGGGGTTAGAAAAGGTCGACCCTAAAAATGCACACCTCGCCTTATCCCATGGATATCCGTCTCCGGAGGTAAGGTCTCAACAAGTACGGAGCTAACACAAAAATTGCCCATAAAAAGATCGTGTGTGACCGACCTCAAGCAGTTGTTCCTTTGGGCACTGCGATCACGCTCCCTGGTCACTAAAACCACTTCTAATCCGATTTCCTTTTGAGGTACCTCCAGAAGAACCCTTCCACGGTGTGGGCAACCGGGAAGTGATAACCGCCCTCATACCTCTAACAGCACTCAAGACCACTGTATTCATAATCAACCTCCCTCTTCAATTCCTATTATTCCTCCTACATCAACTTCAAACTCTAAACTTCTTTTTTCGGCTTCCCCCTCAAGTATCACCATAGCCAACGATTCTAGTGCTCAAAAAATTGTCCCAGGTCTACTGAAACCTCGTTCCACACTACACATTGGGGCCTTCAATGTACGCACCCTATGTCAAACCGGTCAGAGGGCCTACTTGGCTGAAACCCTAGAATCTCGTACCATTGATGTGAGCTGTCTCCGAAACACGCACACAGGATCCCAGTGTGATCATTCACTTGACCTCACCTCGACAAAACGGAGAGCCAACGAGATACACCCTCCGTATATCTGACGACCCAATGGCTGGTCTTCGTGGACTGGCAGGTGTAGGCATAGCACTAAGCATGAGGGCGAAACAAGCACTGCTAGAGTGGATCCCCGTCAACAGTCGTCTATGTGTTGTTCTGCTAAACGGCTCTGTAAGAACTCGGAAGGATAGAGACACACGCCGTTGCCTTTTTGTCGTTTCTGCCTACGCTCCCACCGACTGCAGCTCAGATGAAATGAAAGATGAATTTCACAGAAAGCTATCTGAACTTCTTCAGAAAGCTAAACGTTCAGAAATAGTACTCGTAGCAGGTGACTTTAATGCCCAGATAGGTAGTTTAAACCAAACAGAAAGGCATTTAGGTGGGTATTTTAGTATTCCGGCACAACGAACAGATAATGGTAATCGTCTGCTGCAACTGTGCTCAGACAATTGTTTATTTTTAGCAAACACAAATTTTAAGCATAAGGAGAATCGTCTAACATGGCGACCCCCTACACCAGACCAACGATGGACTCAAATAGACCATATTGCCATCAGTCGTCGTTGGGGAGGGTCGGTAGAAGATTGTCGCTCATTCTGGAGTGCCTGCTTGGACTCCGACCAAGCCCCAATACGGGCACGCATCTGCTTGCGCCTCACTGGACGCAAAATGCCTCAGTAAAAAGACCCATTAGAACTGAATTGAGTAGCGAGAAAATCAAAAGTAGGTTCCAGGAACAACTGAGGTCACAATTAGGTAGCTTTGAAAACGAGGCTGACCCAAATGTTGCTTGGAAAGACATACAAACAGCTGTGACATCTATCAGTGATTTTAATCACAGGGTTACAAAGAACCAATGGATTTCTTCAGGGTCTATTGCACTGATGGATTCTCGTAAACTCGTCCCATGAGGCTATGAACATGATGAAGAGCGTAAAGAAATCAGATCTAGGTTAACCAAAAGTCTAAGGAACGACCGTGAGCAGTAGTGTGCAACGAAATCAAAAGAGATGGAAAGGGCGGCGGTTATAGGGAACACAAGACAGCTCAACAGACTAATAAAATAAACTAGAATTAAGAAATCAAGTGTAAGTCAGACTATTTCGGAAAAAGACGACACTCATCTGCTTCCAGTCTAGAACGATGAGCGGAACATTCTAGGGAACAGTTCGGCTGGTTTTCAGCTACTCTACAATTACCCATCATTCCCAGAGTGTGAATAGAACATCGAAGTAGGTACCCCTACTCTAGCTGAAGTTCAAAAGGCTATAATTAATCTGAAACAAGGAAGGGCAGCTGGTCCAGATGGATTGACTCCAGAAGTCTTCAAGGATGGTGATCTTGTTTTAGCGATTGGGTTGACTAATTTTTTTAGCTAAAATTTGGGAGTTGGACGTAATCCCATCTGACTGATCACGATCACTAATTGTTTCAATATATAAGAAAGGGTCAAAATCATCCTGTGACAACCATAGAGGGATTAGTTTGACTAATATAACATCTAAAATACTATCCTCAATAATTATCGGACGCGTAACAAAGACTGGTGAATTGCAAACACGAGGAAATCAATCTGGCTTCAGACCTGGTCGTGGCTGCGTCGACCAAATATTCACCATTCGTCAGGTTCTAGAACACAGGCATGCTTGTCGGCGTCCGACAATGATGGTCTTTCTTGACTTAAAAGCAGCATTTAACTCTGTAGGCCGAGAGTTTTTGTGACAGTGTCTGTCATTGAAAGGCGTACCTCAGAAGTACATAAACCTTGTGAAGGCTCTTTACTCGAACACTACTAGTCGAGTCAGAGCTTATGGCGAACTGTCATCTGATTTTACAACCTCAAATGGTGTCAGTCGAGGCTGTCCACTATCTCCATTTTTGTTCAAATTCATCATAGATATACTGATGGAAACAACGTTCTCGTCGACTGAATTTTCGGGCATTGACCTCCTTCCAGGAGGTCCGCTTATCGACTTAGAATACTCAGATAATATAGTCCTGTTTGGTGAAGACGCTGATAAAATGCAGAGTGTTTTGGTAGTACTGAGCAACAATGCCAGAATGTTTGTAATGCGCTTCTCTCCCTCTAAATGCAATTTGCTGCTTCAAGACTGGCCTTCATCAACACGTGAACTAAGGATCAGGAGTGAAGTAGTCGAACGCGTTGACAACTCCACTTATCTTGGAAGTCTGATCAGCCCTAATAGGTTGGTGTCTGACGAAATCTCAGCACGGATTGGAAAAGCTCCTTTGGCTTTTGCCAACTTATGTTACCTATGGTGAAGGCGAGATATCCGTCTATCAATAAAAGGACGAGTATACTGCACGGTAGTTCTTTCTGTTCTACTTTACAGCTGCGAAACGTGGCCACTAGGAGTAGAGGATATTCGTAAGCTAGTAGTATTTGACCACAGATGTCTTAGAAATATTGCTCGCATCTGCTGGGATCACCGGGTAAGTAACAGTGAGGTTAGACACAGTATTAGGGAATGATGGTAAATCAGTTGATGAGGTTGTGAATCTTCATCGACTGAGATGGTTGGGCCACGTGTTACGTATGCCTGAACACCGATTACCACGACGTGCAATGCTGACTAGTGTCGGAGATGGTTGGAAGAATGTTAGGGGCGGCCAAACCAAAACGTGGCACCAGTCCTTGAAGTCACTAACTTCTAGTCTGAGCCATGTTGCTAGATACAGACTACTTGGTTAGGGTCCGCACGACTATCGTAACCAAGGGTTGGAGACTGTGTGACATGGCTCAGAATCGATCACAATGGCGTAGGTGTATACACTCTTTGTCTTCCCTTAAACTAAGAGATTAAAATCACTTCATATCTTTCTTTCTACGAACTAATTCTTTCTTCCTGTACTATGTTCTTATATGCAATCTTTCTTTTATATATTATCACTATTAACTTAACCACTCCTATGAACCAGGTGTTCATCTTGCTGTGCTAATGCGGTATAGCAACTTGGACCGATGCATATATGTGCCTGGTCCTACGTTGTAGCTGACTGACTGACGTCCTTGAAGGATTTTGTACAACACTACAAATGCTGACTTGTTGTCAACCTTATGACCAGTCTCAATCAAATATTTCGCAATAGAGGATGATCCTGTGATCGTATTTGACCATTAGAATTCATTTTTTTCTGTAGCCAGTTTGGTATATGTTCACCTGCACTTAATTGCAAATCACGATTACTCCTCCGTATATATGTGTTTCCTCACATACATGTAAATTGATAGACACACTGAGATGTGACAGTCGCTTGAGTGATGTTCGGGCTTTTGGTAAAACAGACCTTATCTTTTTAATAATGACAAGTTGGGCTGCATAAAATGTCCGGTTGATGGCTAATTTAAGTCCCAGTTTCAACATGAGACTATTTGTGTCGCCTCTAAATGGTAACAATGTAAACACGCTTCTTGGGTGCGAGAAGTGTCATACGTTTAATCGTATTGCAACCCCTCCAGTGGTTTATGAACTTCAATGAATAACAATTCTTCATTAGCGTATCAGCCAAGAACTTCGTCTCTAAATCACTAGTATCGCTAGTACAAATACGGTTGATTCTGCTGAATTTATTACAAACGTGGATTAATAAAAAACTACGTTCTTCTAATTCAGCCTTTTTTATATCACACTTGGTCATACTGAATCGTCGGTTTCCAGCGCAAACATTTTCATCTCTCATAATATACTGATTGATTAAGCAGTTTTAAATAAAAATCTCAAAGTATTCTACGTAAGCTCTCTCAATAGACACTAAAAGACTGAATCGATCTAATAAAAAATAATGATGTGCAAGAACGCGTTAAATACTAACGAAGTTTCAGCATCGCCATATAGATGATTTTATGATGAACACAAGTGTAAATGAGAGAACCTTAAATATGGTGTCAGATGAATGCTTTTAAACTGTTGAAAATTAAGAATACATCGCATGTATGTATTTAATTTCAAGACTATTAATAATTTATCTTAATGCTCATTAGATAAATAAATAACAGTTCGCGAGTAGGATAAGGAAAAACAGTGACGATCGTTACAAGAATTCAACTAATGTTCACCTTTATGTTGTAAATGAAATGTAGTAAAATAATGATAAGAAGAATCCTACGGATGTCAATCTAAAAAGTGACATAAATTTACCGAGCGCCAGTTTGATTTTGTCACGTAAGCATTATAAAAACACTTGGAATTAACTTAGATTTACAGATTACGTAGACATTTCGAAGTAATTTCCTTGAGAAATATAAGCACTTATATCCTGATGACAAAATGAGATGAAACAATTAAGACTGACTGGAGATAATTTATAATAACAGCATTAATTACTGATGGGTCATTTCTGCTTTTGCAATTTATTACAAATGCTAGATTGAGCGTGTTGTTATTGTTAATGAAAAGCTGCTTTAATAAGTTTTAACAACCGGTGTTATGTTTGAGAAAGCAGTAAAAATGGTACTTGGTCAACCGAAAACGACTTTATCACTCCTGATTAATTTATTAGTCATATAGGAGTGGAAAGCACTAGTTTAATTCGGATGGCTTTCAAGTACGAACGTAATCAATGCTTAAGTTTGGTAGTTGTAACAGATTTAGTTAGATAATAACTTACTCGGGATCAACATCAGGAACAGGAAGGTGGTTTCTTACAAAAAATAAATCAGTAGGAGTTATTGGGTTGCTACATATTGATGAGAGAGGAGTTTCCGCATTGAAAGGACGCTGTGAAAGCACTTTCAAATCCGGATTTCTCTGAGGATCAGAACTATATATATCTTCATTGTCTTCTTCTTCGACAAAGTCCTGATAAGAAAGAATCAGGAAGATAATTACAAAACTCACAGACGAATATCTCATGATCAGTTTAAAATATCAACGCGCTGGTTTTTAAGATGTATGCGAATTTAAAATGTTTCACTTTTATAGGCTTTGAATAAAATTCGCAGATAAAAGATAATAAAATATTTTACACTATGAACTAGTAGGTAGTAAGAGGGTGTATCCTTATTTTAGCCGTTTAAACCACTCAAGCGAAAATCAACATAATTGAACGTTAGGATCTTTCAAAAACTCTTTGAACTAAATATCGTAATAAATGTGAATACATAATAGTTATTTTTATATGTACGTTAGAAGATAATGAAAAACTGGCTAATCATAACTGACACATACTAAAACAGCCAGAATAACATACAACTTTACGCTCAACTAGAAATAAAACATAAAAATGTATTTATGAATAAACAAATAAATTAGCATTCTTTTCAAAGAATGTTGAAAACTTTAGATCTCGTACATTCATGAGAAAAGTAGCGATTCATTATACATAAATCAGTGTTGAAGACGAAACAGAAAACACCAGTTAAAATAATTGAATAAATACGTCTAGTCACCTACACAGTCGATGGAAAAAATAGGCTACGAAAGAAAGTTATTCATCACTTCATTGTATGAGTATCCGGAAATTTTGTTTCAGGCATGTATATTGTGTTATACAATAGATATTTAGGATAGTATGACTCACCAAGTAATAATCACTTCCTGAACAATGCCAACCCACTTGCAATAGCTATTAAGAAAATTTATATTTCAGCATCGATTCGTGTACAGAAGACAGGAAGAATTTCTCTCTTAATTGACTGAATAAAGCTATTTTCGAACTAAAAACCAACGCTTGTGGAATGCTCATGCAATTTTTGAGTTTGTAAGCATTGAATAAAGAGTCAACCGAAATAGCCATCAAATTATTGAAAAAGAGGTCCCGACTGTCAAAAGATGAATGGGTACTAAGGAAATTCTCCAAACAAAAGGGTTTTGGTCATGATAAAGAGCAAAACTAGATCAAACATTCCAGATGTATGATGGCCAAGAAATAAGCCAAACAGTCAGGTATTAATTCATTGTAGGGCTAAAAACCTGCAAACCTGGTTTCTTCCAATAGCCTACGATGTATATAATCATCTTTTATCCGACATATCATTTGAAAGATTAATACAATATCAGTCTAATGAACAGTTATTACTCGACATCATACTCCAGCGTTCATTTATCGATTGACATTCTTCCCATTTTACAGTTACTAAGTTATTGTGGAATCTGTATGGAATACTTCGACTAGTTGCGTGAATATCTCAAGGCTTTATGGATCGACAAATGAAAAATATGTAGTGCAACTGGAACTATGGTATTAACATAAATTCAGTCCCCTAAACTCTTTAAAGTGAATACATCACCTAACCATTAGATCCATCTTTCAAATGTTCTCTAAAACTCATTAGAATGGTCTACAGCTACTTAAGGGGGTTATAGTCTAAGTTTATGTTTGCTTTGTTATTGGTCACGCGCCAATAGTTTAACATCCCGAATTCCAACATCGAATATGGTTTTGAATTTCAGTTTAGTGACCATCTTAAAACTAATTTATACTGCTTAATTGCTGTAAACAGTTGTCGCTAAAATATGGTGGAAATAAGTGGTCGAAACGTTAATGTATAATAAAATTGCAAGCTTAATATTCAAACTTTGGTGAGTAATTTACGTAAACTAAAGGTAAACCAACCTATGATTTTCCATTTTTATTAGGTTGTTTGACCTTAAAACGACTGGCTGTGAGCTTTGACAACTGAGCCATTCCCAAAGGTTATGTCTGTTTAACATCTAATAATCACTAAAGCAAAGAAAACTCAAAAGTTAAAGGTCAAGTGGTGGGTTCTTACCGATTTGTCAAGTTCTCCAATATAGTACTTCTCTAGTATTTTCAAGACATGACTCTGGTAGTGAAATGCATAAACGGACCAAAATGAAGAGACATCAGATCCAGCAGCCAAAAGAATTTTGTCACCCCCAGGATGATCGTCAACAAAACTTGTAACATCGTACACTTTACCTTTAAGAGAGACCCAAACTCCACGTTCCTTACAGTTATGCTGAGAAAGTTCCTCTAGTGTAATGATACGCGGCTTCTTAGACTTTGAAATCCAAGCAATTGCAAAAATTCCACAAGAAAGTCCACCTAAAAAAACTACAAATCAATCAAAAAATTTTCCACATAACCATCACCTTGATATGTTACTGGACTAACGGGAATTTTCGCCAAGCTTCTCACTTTGTTGGATGAAGTATGGAACTGCACAACTTGTCATCTATAATGACAACAAACCTGATTGGGGAGTTTATGAAACGAGATAAAAATGAGGTTGATACGCGATCTAAACATAGATAACTCATCAATATCGTATAAACAGATAATACGATTGTTTCTTTGCCTAAAAAATAAAAGACATAAACTAATTTGCACAATTCCTATGAATGATGTTACTCAAATAAAAACGCTCCCTTTTATATGAGTTAATTAACTCATATAAAAGCAGAATCACGATAGATGTTAAATTAAGAGAGCGGAGCTCCGAACACCTATGAGTACTCATCCGTACTTTGACCTATATCCTTTAAAGCATACAAACATACACAATCTCCCAGATTTGGGGAAAATTTGACCCACTTTTGGGAAGCCGCCATAGTAAACTTTGGGGAAATGACACGAATTCCTCAATACTTCCCCAGAATCTTTTTACATTTTATGGAAATCGGCTTATATTTATTGATAAAACCTCAAAATTTTTCACATTTTTGAGAAAATTTTGCGTTTTTCACCAAAATTCCTCTAAAGTTGGGAGCTTGGGATACTTAATTAAATTAGTTTAAAGTAAACTAAGCTAACTTTCAGCATGACATCAGTCAGGATTACTTTTCCCATGAACTCACAAAGAGCACCGAATCGCAGGCTGAAATTTTATTGTTATATTGAACAGGTTGGGAACTAAAAACTCCGTAAACAATAATTCACGAACAGCCCAGAAGTGACCTTGAAGTAACGCTTCAATGGTATCGTCCACTGATAAAGGTTATTGAGCACTTGAAGGTCAAACTGTTATGAAATGATTGGTGCTTCACCACGAGATTTATAAGGTTTCGCAGAAGCGGTCAAATCAAGATAACCCTTAGATTTTATTTAACTTCAGACACATTATTTCTGATAACATCAGTGTCAGTTTGGAAAGGACAAGGACGATTGATGGCCTGTGCTAGTCCTGGCAATGGTGGTCTCTCAGTTGATCCAACTTTCTTTTGAAAGTGTCGACGGACGAAACCTCAATCATGTGCTGAGTTCATGAATTCCACTCGTTGATGATTTGATGAGAAAGTCGACAGTCAGCTGATAAGTAATTTGTTCTGGGCTTTTCTGGAGTGTCCTCGTAAATTCTCTGTTTTGGAAGACAAGAAAAATGAAGTAATATCAGATGCAAATCTATCACTAAACAATTTGAAAACTGTAATCAAGTCGCCTCTATTTCTCCGATATGACAGCGGGAATAGATTTAGCTTGGCCATTCGAGCATCGTACAGAAGCTTTGCTATTCCGTGAGTCGGTTTAATTGCTGTTCTTTGAATCTTTTCCAAAAGCTCACAGTCTTTCTTTAAGCAGGGGCTAGCCGCTTGTATGCAGTATGCAGTGGACGTGCCTATGTTAAGCTTATTTAGCAGAGCGAAGACATCGAGTTCTTTAATGGTCACGTTGTCCAGTGTTTGCGTGGGGGTATTTGTATGGGCTGACTGGAAAGGTGCTTCTATGGTATATAGATTGGTAAAGTAGTTTGAGAATACTTCGGCTTCACCAAAGTCGTCCTCCACTGATGCTGAGGCAGTACTGTCTCCACATAGTGCAGGAATATTTCCTCTTCTTTTCGTCCTTTTATAGGAATACAAGCGTTTAGGAAGTTCTATGGATTCCTTAACAATTTTTTTCTTCGTACAGCTTTCTAGACATACGGAGGGTCGAGGCATAAGTATTCTGAGCTTTCCGATACCGAGATTTTTTCTTGTCTGTCCCCAGTAACTTAAATCTATCCCACATTTTTCTTCGCTTACGGAGGAGGATGTAAACCTCCCTACTGAATCACAATGGAGAGTTTCTCGGCCCCTTTGGTGTAATCCAAGCCATGTCAGGTGGAGTAGCTTCTAAGTATAAATCTTGAAATTCGTCCCAAACCGTTTCAATTGAGGAATCTTGCTCTATTGTCTACTGAAAATGCTGAGTGTATGATATCTTGTGTGTTTGCTTTCCAGACGTTAGGTCTGGATTGAGCTGACGTGTGCTCATTTTTGACAATTATATGGAAGTCAAAGTTTAGAATCACATGATCACTTCTACCCAAGGGTAGATGTAATCGAGGTTCGTAACGTCATCCCCATAATGAGTCAATATGATATCTAGTATAAACGACCCAGGGTCCGGGTCGTACATAGGCACTTCTTTCACATGTCACACTAGGGAACATGTGATAACCGCATCAACTAGTTCCTCCTCGAAGGAATTATCTGACAATCCTGGCCCATTATCAGATTCGTATGAGTGATTGAGCCACTCTCATAAAATAAATGATAACCCAATTAGGACTATTGTGACTTTTGCAAATGTGGTTTTGGAGAAAGCCCAATTACACTATTCATATAACTATTTTACAAGTTCCATTACCTTAATGTAGGCGTGATTGCGTCGTAGGTGACTGACATGAAATCGTATTCCAACTAGAAAAGGTGTCACGTCTCTGAAGTGGTATTAAATCTATTATTTCTTCGCTTGTTTTTTTATTTAAAATAACTTATTTTCGAATTCCCCATATGCTGGCTCTTTAACTTACTTACTTACGCCTGTTACTCCCAATGGAGCATAGGCCGCAGACCAGCACTCTCTAACCCACTCTGTCCTAGGCCTTCTTTTCTAGTTCCATCCAATTCTTGTTCATTTTTCTCATGTCTATTTCCATTTCTCGGCGTAATGTATTCTTTTGTCTTCCTCGTTTCCTTTGGCCTTCAGGATCCCATGTGAGGACTTACCTTGTGACGCAGTTGGGTGCTTTCCTCAGTGTGTGTCCTATCCATTTCTAGCGCTTCTTCCTGGTTTCTTCCTCCACTGGGATCTGGTTTGTTCTCTCCCACAGTACGTTGTTGCTAATAGTGTCCGGACAACGGATCTGAAGTATTTTGCGTAGACAACTGTTAATAAACACCTGTATCTTCTGGATGATGGCTTTAGTAGTTCTAAAGGTCTCCGCCCCATACAGTAGAACTGTCTTGACATTTGTATTGAAAATCCTGAGTTTGGTGTTGGTTGACAGTTGCTTTGAGTTCCAGATGTTCCTCAGTTATAAATATGCTGCTCTTGCTTTACCGATCCGCGCTTTCACATCTGCATCAGATCCATCCTGTTCATCAATGATGCTGACCAGATATATAAAGGTTTTTACATCTTCCAGATCTTCTTCGTCAATTGTGATTGGATTGGTGCATGCTGTGTTGTAATGGAGAATCCTGCTTTTCCCTCTGTGTGTATTGAGACCTACTGCTGCCGAGGCTGCTGCTATACTGGATTTTTTCGCCTGCATTTCTTGTTGCGATTGCAATAGGAGTGCCAGATCATCTACGAAGTTTAGATGGTCCAGCGTCGTCCTAGATGTCCATTGTATCCAATACTTACCCTCAGATGTTGAAATCTTCATGATCCATTCAATCCAGTCTGCTGGTACTTGTTTCTCATCCCAAATCTTATTGAAGAGAATGTAGAGTATCCTTGCACTTGCCACTACGTCTGCTTTTAGTGCTGTAGCGGTAAATAAATCCCCAAACTAAATAGCTCAATAGGTTTTCGACATTGGATGCTGACCATATGTTTTAGTGGACTCATCTAGCTGAAGGCGCTCGGACATGCATCCGCACCAGATCACGTGCTGTCACGCTGTGCTCAACAACAATCGCAATCACTAGCCAGATTAGATCAGAGATTCCCGATATATTGGTTATTGCCAAATACACTCTTCCGATCTCCTCGACTCTGTCTTTTGATTTCTCTCGGTGGGAACAAAGCATATTAGAAGGTGTTATTGGTAGAAGCGTTGTCAAACACTGAATACCTGTATCATCCTCATTGGTGAGCCCGACGTGATCTGGTACACCTAACTGCAACTGTGAGTCTGTTCCTTTTTGGGATTTTTATATATTATTACATTTTTTTTAAACATTGTGATTTTTTTTTCGTGTTTTTCCTTGGATATATATATATTTTCCCCTCGTTCATTATCTTACTTCATATTTCATCATGGCTGAACAGACACCCAAAGTACTCAAGCTTAAGACTTTGTCCCCGCCTTCTTTTCAACTCATGCCTTTCTGGCCCGACAATATCGAAGCCTGGTTCTGCTACGCAGAAGCTGACTTCTCCGAGCACGGCGTGATCGACACACGTGCACAATTCCTCGCAGTAGTCAAGGCACTACCGCGCGAATTCAACAGGTACGTAACACCTAGTATGTTTACTAGTGATGTTTCTGAACCTTACGAAATCCTAAAACGTTCGATTCTTAAACGAGGAGACCTAACCGATCGACAAAGGTTAGATCAACTCTTCAATAACATCGACCTGCAACACGGTTCTGCGACTGACATGTTGCAAAGAATGAGAGAAGTGATAGGCCTAAGGACTTTCGACGAAGGTCTATTTAAACAACTTTTCTTGTCTAAACTTCCTCAACAGGTGCAAGCGGTTCTGGTCTCATTTCAGAACAACGCCTTAGACGAGCTAGCTGCATCTGCCGATCGTATTTTAGAAATAACGAAATCGTCTACTTCAGAGGTATTTTCCGTCAAAGAAAAGCCTCACGCGACTCAGAATGACATAACCGAGTTATGTCATACACTCACGCGTTATCTTAATCTTCGTAACGACCGTAGTCGCTCACGCAGTCCACGTAGAAGCATTTCGCGTAAACGACCTGTCTCTAGACCACGAGAGACGGATAACCCTGACTGGTGCTGGTATCATAACCAGTATGGGAAATCTTCCAGAAATTGCAGAAAACCCTGCAATTTTCCCAACACGAAAACGACTGACTCGAAAAACAATTCGGGAAACTTCCAAGCCGGCACGCGTTAACGGCAACCGTAGCCGGCAAACATAGCCGTCTGTTGTACGTCACAGATGTGACAACGAGAGTTCGCTACCTCGTCGACACTGGCGCAGAAGTTAGCGTTCTCCCAGCAAATCATAACGACCGGCTCCACGAATCAACTCTAAACTTACAGGCGGCAAATGGAAAACCAATCGCCACGTATGGCAAAAGGTACGTCTACCTTAACGTGGGTTTACGCAAACCCATTCAT